TTAACAGTTTGGTTTTGAGTGAAAAAATATCCACTGACATTTCACATAGCACCATCATCAGGTCAACAATGGAATTTGTCCAATACCTTCCCAACAGTCTCAGAGCTGTATTTTGTGTTCAGTGCTAATTAGGAAATGCTAGCATGCTAACACGCTAAACAAAGATGGTTAACATGGTAAACATTATACTCCTAAACAGCAGCATATTACCATTGTCATTTTGAGCATGTTGATTTTAGCTTTTATCTAAAACCTTGCAGGGCTGCTAGCATCTGTTCTTTATCATTCAAATTCTGTGACTTTGTTTTTCTCATCAGATGTGACAATAATAAGCCTCACTTACTTTCTACAGTGACATAATTGAGCCCCACTTTCTTTGTGCATTAATATAGGGTTGTCATTGACTTAATTTTCGGTCTCTGTTATATAATGAATGCGGCGATGATCAAACACCTCAAAGCTGAAATCTAGGAATTACCAGAAGCCTCGGTTAACAGTCGACATTTCTGACTGTCATTGTTCAATTGACATGTTTTGTCCCTCAGTTATATTGAAACTCTTCACTTTTAAGCAATCAGTCACAGACAGACATGCGATGACATAGTTTAAATGTGCTACATGAATCGCAGACAAGAATTGTACCTTGAGTTTACTGGTAATAAAATATGCTACATAGATGTATATGGAACTGCCTTTCCTTGCTAAGATAGACTGTCTGTTAAAACTTAATTTTCTTTACCAGAATTCAGCTGTAATGCACATATTAGTAATGCAAACTGCAGTTTAAACCAAAAAATTATGTTTTTCTATAAAATGTTACACTTTCATGCCATATTCCCATTTATTCATATTAGTGTACAAAAAGTCTGAAACCATTTGATTAGATTTGATAAGAGATCAGATTTTTTATGCATTTACACCACAGTAAATATACATTTATGTCAATATGTGTGTGTATCTGTGTGCATTGGAGTGCTTGTTTGGCAGATGTTAATCATTTATCATTTAAAGACACTTTCAATAAACTTAAGTTGATGCTGAATAAGAGGATGATTGTCAATATTCATTTCGTTTATATATCAGATTCAGGGCATGAATGTCTGTACATATACCAGCAACTCAGTCAGGAAGCCTCCCTGCCTTTTACCCAATGCTGTCTGCCTCCCTTCAGTAGGGAGAAGCAGGTCAAAAAAATTAAAGATGAATGAGGCTTGGCTGTCCATTGTTGCCTTTGAAAGAAAGACTGTTGATTGACCTGATGTTTTAGCAGGTTCTTTTTCAATAGGCTGCTATACAAAGTGCAATTTATGCATTATAAATAATGAAATAGTTGGATTAAGGGTAAAGGATATTCACATGCAAAGACTGAAGGTTTTATTCAGTGGTGCAATTAAAACCTTTTGAAGCATTAAGCATGTGCTAATACCAAGTTCTGAAAGCATAATTAGCTGTCTTTTCAAACTGTAAATTCTGGTTGCCGATTGCTTCCAAACACTTTCTGAGCATCAGCTGAACATTCTCATGTTTGTGTCCGTGTCTGACAACCTGATGTCGGTCTGTGTCTGTCCTCAGGTACGAGAAGGTTCCTGTGATCCTGGTGGGGAACAAGGTGGACCTGGAAAGCGAGAGGGAGGTATCATCCAGCGAAGGTCAGGCCCTGGCCGAGGAGTGGGGCTGCCCATTCATGGAGACTTCGGCCAAGAGCAAAACCATGGTAGACGAACTGTTCGCTGAGATCGTTCGGCAGATGGACTACGCTGCCCAGCCAGACAAGGATGACCCCTGCTGCTCCTCTTGCAATATACAATAGCCCCGGGGGTACCCAGGAACAGGCCAGGCAAAAAGTCTACTTAGAGCAAGCTACTTCGACTCACAGCAGAGACATACGCACTTAGACACACACACACATGCACATGCCAATTAAACGGAAGATAAATTCATGGATGAACGCAATGGATTTTAACTCTATGGAGCATAAAATCAGCAGTGACATGATTATTATTAACGACATGTGAGTCATGAATACATTTTGAAAGAGGAATGCCAGGAATTTGCCGCAAGAGAAATTGACAAATGACAAAAAAGGAACATGCCCTCGCCTTATGTTACTCTCTTTTGTTGTTTGGGTTTGTTTTTATCCTTGTCGTGGGTAAAATCATCAGCAAAGAATCACAGATCAGGATCTTTACTCTTTTAGGTTGCTCTACAATCTGCTATAAATGAGTAAAAAGTTGTCGCCTGGTTTCGTTTGTATTACAAGTTTCTCACAGAATACCAATATGCATTTTTTTTGCTACGATGACTCAAGTAGCTACTGTACACAAATCCAATAACAGATTCCTGGGATCCAGATGTTTTAAATATTAAGGAGTATTTGATTTACAGTATGTACAATTTCCTCCCAGCTTATTTTGTGCAGTGGTTGGTTTTTTCTACTCATCACAGGGCTGAACCAAAGAGGTGACCTGAGAGCACCTCCGTTTTCTTAGGGTTTTTTTTTTCTTTTTCTTTTTTTTCTTTCAGTTGTTGAAAAAAGGAATGGAGAGAAAATGGTGGATAAGTCAGTGTCTTTCTTGAAACATTGGTGCAGTCATCTCTTTCCTATTTTCTCCCTTTGAGATACAATAGTAAACATAGCAGAGTCTTTCACATATCGTGTGATGTTTTGTTTTCCCCTCTGGGAGACTCTGACAGCAGATTGCTGAGTAATAATGTAACTGTTCATCCTGATGGGACAAATAGTTCATCTTTTCAGTGTTTGAATATCTCTACAGACGATCTCTCTAAACTCTTTTCAGGAATGGGTGACATTTAAAGTGAAGATGCCAACATTTGTCATACTTTACATTTTCTTTTTTTCTCCTCCGGTATCAATATGTAATAGGGTGCTCAAGAGTTTCAGCATCCTGATTCCATTCTTTATGTGCTCAGAGTATTCAAAACCATAGCAACAACTAGTGACGACAAAGGCGATGATAATAAGAATAACTAATGGTAGTGTAAATATTTTGTATTGAAAGTGCCAGCTCCTATGAAGACACTGACTACAACACATGTGGAACTGTCAACTGTATGCATGGCTAGTAAACAAAAAAAAGGACTCTTATTGTTTGAGTTTAATATAGGCTGTGGAAATGTGCAAACCAAACACATACACGTCTGGATCTGGACACTGTCTCTCAACTGTACATCTACAGTATGTTGCCACGGGAACCAGACTTTCCCCGTGTAACCATTTTCATTGTTGATTTTATATTTTTTTATGTGACCATTTACTCTTTATTCCCTCTCTGAATGGTGACACTGTTACATTTGACACCTAAACAATAAAAGTGCGTTCAACACTCAACTGAGGCTACCAAGCTTGAGTGAAATGAAGTGAATGGATTGACAAAAAAAACGTTATAACCGAATTGCCTCTTTTCTTCTGGTGCTTTTACTACTTGTAATTCTGCATAACTATATAATAACATGTATTTTAATTTTCACAGAGGCCCTACCCATGAACAGGTTTTGACCAGGTCTTCTACACATCAGGGCTTTTCAGAGGACTGTGGGTCCCTCTTCCCCCTGCTTTGTACTGCCTTAATAACTAAAAACAAATAGTGAGTAATTATTACGTAATTAATAGTTATTACTCAATAATTAATCTACATTTTGTTACCAGTATAATTAATTATAGTTCCCATAATTTGGTGATGTAAATGGATTAGTCAGCTTTGAGCTACAACTTGAGCCCTGTTTTACAGCCTATATTTATTGGTATTATTTGGTAAATTAAAAGTATAGTGAATTAGCTATTAGTAGCTCCTGTCTGCAATGTACCAGTGGATGCACAGACAGCTATCACTGGAAAACCTAAAAATCTGATGATTCTCAGTCCAGTTCTGGAGTTGTAAGGAGCATCCAAATCCAAAATCTCTAAGTGGATTTGCGGACGTTTACTACGGATCTAAGATGATGATATCCTCTGGAAGTGTAAGTTCCCCCGAACCTAAAAATATTTGTATCAACAACACTTTGAAAACCTATTTACATGATGAGAATGTGCCACAAACACCTTGACACCAGTTAACTTTCTTCCTTCGCCAGCTGAAAAACAGCATGATATTGACACGACTGCTGCTGCGGACCAGAATGACCTAGCATCCACCTACTTCTGTTTGATTCTGTGCCACCTGCCTGGGTCTCATAGAGGCAGCTAATCCCCGTCCGATCTGTTGCATCTGTTTGGGAGTTCAGCATGCAGCTAGAATCTCCTGGTTGTCAAGACTGGAGGGTGCTTCCTCCTGTTTGGTGGGACTCATTCTGAGCACAGCTCTGACTGCTGAGAGACACTGACAGTGAGGATCTCTCTCCTTCATGAGAGGCCTCTATCTCTGCAAAATATCTTTATGCAAGCTGACTCCATGGTAGCTGCATGGAAGTTTTACTTCATTTCAAACTTAAATTTGTGCTATTTCCTTTTTACTGACATTAATTATAGCCCACATCCCAGATTTGTTCAGCAAACATGTCTGATGTTGTGCCTATTTCCATATTTCCTCACTTACAGTAAAAAAAAGACCAGTCAGAGCTTAAGCAGCTTTAACAATGGCCAGCTATGTAGTTACTCGCAAAAAATCGCAACATTGAAACCACTACAAGCGTCATCTGTACAAGTTGCTTTTAGTCAATTTACAGACTTAAATTGATCAATGACTTTATTGATACTTTGAACAATATAAAAAACATTAAGTTAACTGCCCACAGCGATTGTTTAATAAAGTAAAACAAAATGTAAATTTAGTCGCATTATCAGGCTACTTATTAAAGCAATAGGCCCCTTTCATCCAACCATGACCCACTGGCCTTGACATCTGTGATAGGGCATCCAAACCTCTACATCAATCAGTAGGTAACTATATAGCACTACAGAAGCATCACAAACTGTCACCACTATGAAAAACCCCTTACTCCTAGTTACCTAGCCAAAGGAATTACTACAGCTTCAGTCATTTTGACTAGCAGCTGTAGATATGTTCAGCGTCCAGGTGGCTCTCAGATAATTTTTTCTTCATTAACTGCAATTTCCGTTATCCAGTTATCCACTTGTTAGCACTTTGTCTCTCACTCAAGAAAGGTGTCCAAACATTCTTTAGTCTGGTCTAAATATGTCAATACCTGTGTCACTGACACTATTGGTAGTGCTAGCTTTAGTTTGTTTGGATCTCTTTGTTTCTGACATCTTAGGCAATGGGTAATGCCCTGGCAAAAGCTTAGTACTGCAGATAACACAACTGTTTTGTTACCATTCAGGTACTACAGCTCCTATGTAGCTTGGAAAGTTTTATCTGTTATATCTTAAGTATTGTTTTATCTGTGCTAAAATGACAAACTACTCAACTTTCACTTTCCAGTACAGTAGTAATTAGTTAACCCTAATATATCTTTTCAAAAAGACAGAATTCCTCTGAGAAAATAGAAGCTAAAGGGACAGACGCCAGCTTGGACAAAGGGGGACTCAGCCCTCAGACAGCTGTGAATTTCCTTCCTTGTTATTTACTCAACCTCAATACTTTGACAAGAAGACATAATTTATCATTCATTATTAGTATGTTTAATATGATGAAATCATAAATAAAGATTCTGACTGCATATAGACAGTAATACATGGAGTATTATACTGTACAGTTTTGATATACTTTATCTAAAGAGATCATCAGGCTTTTATTTGAGACATATTAGAGACATGCCTTTTTTGACATTTCGAGAACTGAACAGATGACAGATTATCCTGCAACGCTGCCCTTTATTTGAGAATTTGAGGTCATACTCTTCTGAAACAAGTTACAATGTGCTTTGCAGAGTATCATAAAAATAGAACAGATTGTACAAGAAATAGAAGATCATAATACACAATAGTAAAATAAAGTACATTTATAAACTGTATTTTTGAATAAATCCTTCGGTTTTGGGTAACATGGATTTGAAGTTAATCCCTCGTGTCAGAGAGGGCGAGGAACCAGAAATTGAATTTAAAGATGAAATGGTTTCAAGAGACGATTAAAAAAGACTGGCTCGTCTGTGTTATTGGTTCCTTTTTCTCCTTGGTTTGCCTCCCAACTAATTTTAGAGCATCTTTTGAATCACTGATGCAGAGTGGAAGCGGCCTACTGGGGGAATCACCAGTTAATAGATCCGGTGTGTGCCAATGTCTCCTCTGAGGCGCTTGTCAGCATCCACCTTCAGCTACCTAATGTAAGTGAGCTAGCAAAGAGTGAGCCTGTGTGGCCTGTTTGTGCTGTCTTGTTTATGGAGGTGCTTTATCCACCCTGATGAGGCAGGGCAGAGGACTGAAGGACCTGATGGAAAGAGGTCTCACTGGGGTTCATTAAGAACCAGAATCCCCTCTGGCATCATTCATGCTTCAGCTGTATCATTTGTGTTTGTGGTAACATATAGTGAAACACAGTTTAATATCCTTGTTGTCCAGTGAAAGAGGTTTAATGAGAATGTATTGCTGAATGCTTTACAGGAATCAGCCTAATAGCTGTTGTGCAGCTTTGTCTCTTGGACTGGTGTTTTTAAAAGGTCACTGTGCACTCCAGTTTCCCTTTTCCTCAAATCCTTGCAGAGTTGAAGCAAGACATGACTTTCAAGGAATTGCAGGCAGCATCGTGAGATGTTGAATTCTCAGTGGGTAACAGACTGGAAAATAAAAATAAAATCAGCTTGAAAACAACCCCCTGAGTTTCACAGCGTAGGTGTATGAATTAAATAGGCGCTGACTCATTGTTACCTGTTCTCAACTCTGTAAGACAGGGGCTCAGAGGCACAGACATTGCGGCTGTGACACAGCACACCGTGTTTGTTCCAGCTGAGATCCTCTACATCAGTATGTCAAATGTCAAGATGAAAGGGGGGGAGCTGCATGAGTCACGCCACCATCCCCACCCCCACCCCCCACCGCTCCCAGACTGCAGCACACAGGCCCTGGGGTATCTGCGTGGGATATCACAGTCCATGACAAAAAAAGCCATGTCTACCCTGTGTACTCTTATTCTAGGAGAGTTCACAAGGCTGTTATTCTGAAAAACACCCTGCCAGCTCAGCAGTTTTGAGGATGAAGGAGATTCCAATGCACAGACCAAACAAAGGAGCCTTAAAATTGCTTTAATCGTCTCATTGATCAGTGAAGCATTAAAGTCTCATTGTAGTCCAGACAGAGGCTAAAACGTGTGGAATGAAGCTTTTGTATCAGCACAGAGGAATTGTGGAAATCAATAGGGTGAGATGTAAAAGGGAGAAATTATACATTTAGAGGAAACAATACATTAGTCACTATGAGGCAGAACAGTACACTGCATGTCATCATGCATCCTTCTTGCCCCGATGGTAATGATTCTTGTTGCGTGCCTGCATTGTTTTTCTTAGATTGTGGAACAAGAAGATGTGCATGTGACTGAACATGGTGACAGAGTATTTATTGCTGGTGCTGTACATTAGAGGGAAGTCACTACTGCTGAAGAGAGCCGAGCTGTTATCAGCCCACACTCTCCAACCCCCCCACTGATGTTTCATGCTTTTTTCATATTGGAAACAATGTTGATGGGCAGGAGGGGGAAGATGGAACAAACAAACAAGCCGAGCTAGGACTGTCAGAAGGCCTAATAACTAGGTGTCATGGCAACCAGATGGCGACACATGAGTTGTCAATTTCACAGTCTAATTTGCAGCTGTAACAGAGGAGTGTGTGTGTGTGAAGGGGGCGGTCAAAGGTATCATATTGGACACTTTTAATCGCTAGAGGTAACTATCTATGCACATGTGCACTATTTCTTCCATAGAAAGTATACTTCTAATGAAACTGGTTAAGAAATAAGAATTATCCAAAGGAGATTTTTCCTGGAACGTTTTTGAAGTTGATTTTTTAGATCTTGTCTGCAACACAAGCAAAATGTTAGTACATTTACTCAAGTACTATACAATTGTTAGGTAATTGTACATTGCAAGGCAGTACTTTTTTTTAAGGAAATGTTTTGTGCCACTACATTTATTCAACAGTTCATAGTTACTTTCCAGATTAGAAATATATGATCAATATATAAAATATAACAAATTGTTATTAAACTTACCAATAGTATGTAAAAAAAGGTAGCATGTAAATCAGATTAGACCAGTTGCCCAGTATACATACATAAGTGTTCATGTCCTTCCACAGTCCAAACAAAAATGATTCATGCTATGTTTCACAACAAAAGTATTCACTGAATAGCTTCTGACAGCACAGTTGTTTCTGTTAATTCCTCCACCTCCCACATTATGTCATGGTGACCAGTCTCTCTGTTAGGCGCAAGTTATTATCTG